TCCGTGGTTACTGCCTCTCCGCAATGTATCTGAGACGCTTGCGTCATCGCCCCGCCTCTTGTTAAAGCACGCATGCGCCGCACTCAGAAAATAATGACAACAACAATGTAGCTTGTTGGTTTTGTAATCCAGTGTGACCCGAAGCAACAGTTCAACCTCATCGTCCGTCCATACTAATGTAGTACCAGCTCGCCCACTCGCCATGTTGTCTGTTTACAAAATTCCGCGCATGCCCACGGAAGTTTGGGCTTGATCCCGTCATTGCGTCACAGCGCCACCAACAGGTCTGGCATAGTTTCACAGCGTTTTCAGGCGTATTGACTACATTCATATGGACGCACACATTTACTGAGCTAACTCTGTGTTTACAGAAAAAGTTTCTGAAATTATAAACGTTTTGTCTTCGTGTGGATATAGCCTAAAACTTGTTGGTTTTATTATGATTTTGTTCTTTGTGTCTGAAGTGTAAAGCGTCATGAAAAATAAGGTATTATTTACTCAAGTACTTAATTGTCAGCAGTACTTATACTTCTAATTGAATACATTGAACTCTAATCTGATTAGTGACAGTCTACATCTACAACCTGAGCCACAGCCTGGAGAAGGTCCCTGTCCTGTGGAAGACCTCCTGTGTGGTCCCGGTTCCTAAAATAGCGCACGCCAAGGAACCGGCTCACTACAGACCAGTCGCACTGACCTCCCACCTGATGAAGACCATGGAGCAGCTCATCCTCACCCATCTCCGCTCTGTGGTCAGCCTCACCCTGGACCCGCTGCAGTTGGCCAACAGGCCCAACATCGGAGTAGAGGACGCCGTCTTCTACTTACTGCAGCGGACGCTCTCCCACTTGGAGCCCGCCGGAGCGCTGTGAGGGTCATGTTTTTTTACTTCTCCAGCGCTTTCAACACCATCAGACCGGCACTGGTGCGGGGGAAGATGAAGGACGCGGGAGTGGACAGTAATCTCACTGCATGGACCATCGACTACCTCTCGGACCGACTACAGTACGTGCGCCTGCACAGCTGTGAGTCTGAGGTGGTAGTCTGCAGTACTGGGGCCTTCAGGGGACTGTCCTCTCACCGTTTCTTTTCACCATCTACACTTCAGACTTCACATACGACACACAGCTGCCACCTTCAGAAGTTCTCCGACGACTCCGCCATCGTGGGCTGTGTGTCTGAGGGGAACGAACTGGAATATTGGTCAGTTATCACGGACTTTGTCGTCTGGTGTGAGCGCAACCACTTATGCTTGAACACCAGTAAGACCAAGGAGATGGTAATCGACTTTAGGAGATAACCACTTTCCCGCACACTGCTGAAAGGACATTGAGCTGGTGGACAGCTTCAAGTACCTGGGTGTTCACATTAACAATAAACTGGACTGGTCCCATAACACCAACGCCCTGTACAAGAAGGGCCAAAGTCGCCTTTTTCTTCTGAGGAGGCCTCTGCTCAGGACTTATTATACCTCTGTGGTAGCCTCGGCCATACACTACGCTGCCGTGTGCTGGGCCCCGGGCAGCACAGAGCGGGACAGGAGTGAACTGAACAAGCTGGTCAGGGGGCCAGCTCCACTCTAGAGTGCTCCCTGGACTCTGTGGAGGAGGTGAGGGACAGGAGGGTGCTAGTCAAAGTCACCTCCATCATGGACAACACCTCTCACCCACTGCACAGGACTGTAGAGGAGCTGATGAGCTCCTTCAGTGGAAGACTCAGACACCCTCAATGCAAGAAAGAGCGCTACCGCAGGTCCTTTATCCCCACTGCTGTCAGACTGTACAATAAGTCACTTTAAGTCACTTGCATTAGGACTGAAAAAGAAAAAACTGCACTACTATTGCCACTGTTTCTTGATTGCCACTTTTTTATTGTACATCATATATCCTGCATTTGCAGATATATTTCTTTTGCACAATCTTGAGTTATTCTATTCATGCCAGATCTGACGTGTAAATTTCTCCTGTGTGGGATCAATAAAGTCTATCTTATCTTATCTTATCTGTTGCTTTTCAAGATTTCCAAAAGTGATAAAGAGCCGTTTCAGGCACCTCCTGTGTTCAACTCCATTTTACGGATGTTCGTTATTTTCATAGATCCACGGATGTTCCTCTCTAATCAGCAAACACACCTTTTTACATTTAGGCCTGATACAAATTACTTTTAAGCGATGCACAAACGAGGGCCATAGCAAATATATCAATTGTATGTAATAATCGTTTATTGCATATATGTGCATTGCTTGCATAAAATATCACTGTGTAAAAATTAATGATTACTACAAATACATTTGTTATAACAGAGAAAGTCCGTTACAGAAGCCTCGTCTTTGGGTTTTCAGAATTAAGACTAGTGGGCGACTGTAGCTCAGTTGGTAGAGCATTGGCCTTTGAGCCAGAGGGTCGTGGGTTTGAGCCCGACTCCCACTGGCCTGCTGTTGTTGTGTCCTTGGCAAGACACTTAGGCTATATCCACACGAAGACAAAACGCTTATAATTTCAGAAACTTTTTCTGTAAACACGGAGTTAGCTCAGTAAATGTGTGCGTCCATATGAATGTAGTCAATACGCCTGAAAACGCTGTGAAACTATGCCAGACCTGTTGGTGGCGCTGTGACGCAATGACGGGATCAAGCCCAAACTTCCGTGGGCATGCGCGGAATTTTGTAAACAGACAACATGGCGAGTGGGCGAGCTGGTACTACATTAGTATGGACGGACGATGAGGTTGAACTGTTGCTTCGGGTCACACTGGATTACAAAACCAACAAGCTACATTGTTGTTGTCATTATTTTCTGAGTGCGGCGCATGCGTGCTTTAACAAGAGGCGGGGCGATGACGCAAGCGTCTCAGATACATTGCGGAGAGGCAGTAACCACGGAGCGGCATATACGGAGTTTTGAAATCTTTCCACTCTGGGACCTAGTTTCAAAAATGTTCGTTTACACCCCCCCAAAACGCCGGCCTCGTATGGACGATACACTGGATTGATAAAGTATTTTTGCGTTTAGGCCTGAGCTTGACTTCGTGTGGACAGGGCCTTAACCTCTGGGAACACCAGCCACAGTGGGGCGGCTGCGGCTGTAAAGTGCTAAACTGCCGTTGTGTCCTTAGGCAAGACACTTTACCCCCATTGCCTAGAATGAGTCTGTGTGTGTGTGAATGGTTGGTGGTGGTCGGAGGGGCCGATGGCACATACTGGTTGCCTCGCTTCTGTCAGTGTGCCCCAGGGCAGCTGTGGCTACAGTAGTTGTTTATCACCACTGTGTATGGAGTGAAAGAATAATGACATGTAAAGCGTCTTTTTACTGTCCAAAAAAGCGCTATATAAAACAGATACATTATTATCATTATTATTATTAAACATCGGGGGAGCTCTCAAGTGTGTCCCCGCATTTAGACGCTCTGTTCTGGGCTTCAGCCCTGTGCTGTGAGCTAAGCGGCGGAGCTTCCCCCTGGAGGAAATGTCCAAAAATGTTCTATTATATCACCAAACAGACCTCTGATATGACAATAGAGGGGGGTATTTCTCGCCTCAAATGTTATCAGAATTAACTTTTATGTCCTAATTAAAGCGTAATTTAAACCTTCCATCCCGTCCGCTGTGTCCTTCTGCTCCGTTCATTTGAGTTGGGTTTGGCTGAACTACTGGCAACAGAGAAGTCCCGCCCCAAAGCACGCTCAAAATGCTATCTCCCACTAGTCTTCTGGGCGCCCGTCACGCGCCTCCAGAACGCTCAGTGAGAGCGTCTGTGACAAGTGAGGCGATTTTGAAACGGTCTGAACGCAGCACAACCCGGACCAGGCTGGCGCTGTGGGTGCCGGCCAGCTCAGGGGCCTGTCTCTGTGGGTGTGGAGGGCCATGGCCAGGCCTGTGCTTGAGGTGTGTGTTGCCACAGCATGGGGGCCTGTCTCTGGGGTTGTGGAGGGCCGTGGCCAGGCCTGTGCTGGAGGTGTGGAGGATCCAAACCCTTACCTTAGCCCCGTAGGGGCCTGGCTAGTTTCTCATACTAACCAGGCCAACCTTGTCTAGCTTCCGAGATCAGACGAGACCGGGCATTCTCAAGGTGGTATGACCGTAAGCACAGGGGTGAGGAGCTGTGCGCATCTTTATCTTGTTTCTGCTGCTGCTGCTGGTGGTAGTAGACACAGGACCATGGTTGTCTCCCCAGAGCAAGAGGGCTCAGGCCTGGATCACTGCGCACTGCCTTCCCTGTAAGAACCATTGCTCTATGCAGACCCGGGTTGTGTATCCTGGATTGTCCCCGGGGATGGTACTCACACGTGTTGGCCCAGTGCCAGACGAGTCCCTGGACCTTACGGATATTTTGTATAACCAAACCTCTTATAGATTATTTTAAGGAAGATTTTGAATGAATGAATGAATGAAATGTTTTTATTTCGAGTTCAATATACATAACTGAGATTTACAATACACATTTGTTTTAAATAACTAAGTATCAACTCAAAAAAGGAGTGAGAAGAAGTAAAACTTATGTACTCCCACCCCTGGAAGATTTAAATGCATTTGGGACCAATATGGCACACTTTGACCCTATTTGTTTTAATGCCCACAGTAAAAGTTAATGTTACTTTGCACAGTAGAAGAGGGCATCACAGTGAATAAGTGTGCAGTGAAGGTAGTCAAGGAACTCTTTAGATTAAAAATTGCATTTTGGCTGCTCATCCCCGTGGCTTCCCTTTCTACGTTTACTATAGGTAACAGCATAAAGGGGCCACCAACTTTAATTTGCGGACCACTTTATTGCGGACGGAAAAAAGCCTGACCACTTTACAGCGGTGTTTGGATGCTGGCCTGACCAGCATCATGCTGGTCTTTGCTGGTCTGATCAACCTCATGCTGGTCTTTGCTGGTCTGATCAACCTTATGCTGGTCTTTAAAGATCGGATCAGCATAGACAGTGCATGCTGGTTATAGAGTGGTTACAAAGGCATCAAAAGCATAAAAATTTAAATAATATACAAAGGTTTTCCCCCAGGACGTTTCAGAAGAATGCACTGACGGAGCTGCAGAGCCTTGGAGACATACGGATCCTCTTGGGAGAGAACCCCTTCAGCTGTTCCTGTGACATCCGTGCATTTGTGTCCTGGCTAAACAGCTCCAAAGCTGATGTGGACGTTGAGAGTATTAGATGCTCTTCTCCCAAAAGGCTGGCTGAGTTTGGGCTCCGCGGCCTGGGCTTGGAGGCTATTGGCTGCGTGGCTCCATCCCCAGACATCACAGACCTCACACTGCAGACTTCATATGTGTTTTTAGGGCTGGTTCTTGGCTTTGTGGGAATGGTTTTCCTTTTTGTTCTTTATCTTAACCGCAAAGGCATGAAAAAGTGGATTATAGAGACTAGGGATGCTTGCCAGGACGTGCTAGAGGGATACCATTATCGTTATGAGATTGACACAGACCCGCGGCGTGCCTCTGCCTCTGTGTCTGTAGAGAGTGGCAGCATGCAGGACCACTCGGGCTTGTCCCAACAGCTGCCCACAGACACATGCATAAACCGAGCGTCCACCAGCCCTCCAGCTGACGTCTGCAAACCAAACATGATATGCTGATAGTAACCGTGAGGGAAAGCATTTTTTATTTTTTTTTATTTTAAGAACAAGAATCAAGTCAAGGATGATTTGTTTTCATTCTGTAGCTGATAAGAATGTAGTTTTAAATTAGGAATTGAGATTTAGTTGAGTTCACGTGACATAACACCATTCTAGAATTCTTCAAAATGGAGCCGGATGTCAGTTACAGTAATTGTGAAGATGAAGAGAAATCTTTTGAATGCAAGTCCCAGTTAGGTCCACCCCTACAGGATCCTGATTGGATGCTATGATTTCAAATCCTTTAAAGCTAGTTCACTTTGTAAACAAAGAACATTGAACAAGTTACAGTATAAAATAATAACATATGCAACTCTAAAACAGCTTGGTTCTAACACTTTGGCTGAGTGAGGTCCTCTCTTTTTTACTTTTCTGTCTGAAAAAGTTGATCCGAGCAGATCTCACCCCAAAGTGTAAGCATCTTTAGTTCAAGTTCAAACTGGCACAAGGGTCAATGGGCCTCATTCACGAATAACTTCGTAAGAAACTTCTCAAATTTCTTCTCAAGTTGTCCTTAAGTAGATTTCTAAGAAGTCCCTACGTGGGATTCATCAACGCACTCGTAAGCCGCTGAATTGTTTGCAGCTGTTCTCTAGATTGATGAATCCCCTTTCCTCATAAGTAGAGCGCGTGTGCCAGGTGCTTCATTAGCATAGGTACTTAGCATAAGTAAACGCCCATTAATGCCCATATAAGGGACTGCAGGGCCGTGTGCAGACGCCAGAAGAAACGGCAACAGGCCTAAAGCAAAGAGTTACACGGAGCAAAAGAGTCACCCTTTTTTCTTCTTTTGCCAGACTGAGAATAAAGTTATAAAATGTTGACTTAAAAGTCGAAATATTATGATAATAAAGTCGAACTAGCAAAATTGTGAGATTAATCTAAGAATATGATGAGATTAATCTCAAAATGTTATGAGCTTAATTTAAAAATATATTATGTATTATTTTAAAGATGAATCTCAAAATGTTTTGAGATTAATCTCAAAATATTTTGAGATTAATCTCAAAATATTTTGGACCCTGGGAGGAGATCCAGCGCGGACCAGCGCTGAGACCAATGCAGACCCGAGGAGAGACTGGAGTGACCAGCACACAGAAACCAGCGCGGACAGGAGAGACCGCATAGACTGGAGTGACCTGACTGGAGAGACCGGTGCGCAGAGACCAGCGCGGACCGAAGAGAGACCGCATAGACCAGACTTGAGAGACCAGCGCGGACCTGTATGGATCCAGGAGCATGCAGCACGGACCCGTATGGAGAGACCAGTGCAGACCCGTCTAGAGCCATGGGAGAGACCAGTGCAGACCCGTCCATGGGAGAGACCAGTGCAGACCCGTATAGATCCATGGGAGAGACCAGTGCAGACTTGTATAGATCCATGGGAGAGACCAGTGCAGACCCGTATAGATCCATGGGAGAGACCAGTGCAGACCCGTATAGATCCATGGGAGAGACCAGTGCAGAGACTCAGCGCGGACCCCGCAGCCTCCTGCAGCAGCAGTATATGTGCCGTTGTTCTGTGGCCCGTGGATAAAGAAATGCCCCCTATAAATAGGAAGGGGTCACTAATACACGGCAAGATTTCCAATGTATTTGATAAAGCGTTGGCACATTTCATTTCAAAATGAATTAAAAAGTAGGCCAGATCTGCAGTGAAAAAGGCGGTATATAAATAAAGATTACTAATAAAGATTACTACAAATAAATAAATACATACATCGATATGACGGACATATCACTGGAATGTTGTATTTTTATTAAACTTCACCAAAGAGGACAACCCCAGCGTGTGAACATGTCGGCACTGAATGCGTACGAGTGCTCCTGAGGACTCGTAGGATTTGTACTTGCCCAAGAGAAATTCTGGTTACGAGAAAAATTTGTGAATGCCACTTTCTTCGTAAAAACCTCGTAAGTAGGATTTACGTACAAATCTGTTCCTAAGAACCGTTCGTGAATGAGGCCCATTGTCTGCTCTGACAAAGGTAACATAAAGTTAAGGCACAATTACTGCTCAGGACTTTAAGCCATATCACAAATAACAAGTTTCAACATTGTGGCTCATCCATTCATTTAATTTCTTCCACTTTATCTCATGATCTGCTGAGTTAATGAAGACAGGGAAAGTGTGTCCTCTGTTTTTGACTCATTCAGAAATGATACTGACAAAGCCTTTCAGGAGCAGTGATCATTACAGGTCATCTCCAGATGATGATGCTCTTTAGGATCGGAACTGGTGGATTTTTACCTCTGGTGTATGTTAAGGGCAGTGGGATAAAGAGTGTTCACAGTGGCTCTATTCTGAGCTTCTCACCTCATCTGTGCTTAGGAAACTCATTTTACTTTTTTATTTTTTGTGCCTGTGAAGCACTTTGGGCAGCTGGTGTTGTAAATGTGCTACACAGATAAAGTTGACATTGACATTGACATTTGGACTGCTGCATCCTCCATCTTGTCTTTTGGAGGATATGAGAGTTTCTCAGATCCTCATCAGCTTCCTGTCCACCCTGACTAAAAAATAACAATTTAATTTTTTATTTTTTATTTTGTACTTTTTTCCCTGTAGACATTGCGCCGACTGTCTCATTTTCAAGCTGCATCCTTCTCTCACAGCAGGGAGAAGGCTTTTGGGAATCTCATACATTAACTATAAATGTTTTAATCTAGATAAATGGATCACTGTCCACCACCTATAATCATCTTAAGTGTATTATACTTATTACTGTGTGTCTACAAAAGAAAAACCTCTTTCATGTATGGACAGTGGATTTTCAGCACTGTAGTCCTGTAGCCTCCTAACTGTTCTACTTTTCTGTGTTTTACTCTGTTATTTGTGTTCCGCTGCTGTTGTGATTAAGTGCTTGTATCGAGCAGAAATAGGGCAGAAAGAAGGATACTGTTTGGGAGAGCACCTGCCGGCACAACTGGCCTGCTGTTGTCTTTTCTGCATGTGGACTTTGATAGGCCTGTGTTTAGACTTTAAAGCCTCTTAGTAAATTATATACATACAATAAAGAATGAATTTACTGCAATGCTCTTCTCAAAACCTCAAACGTGTATCTATCTACATCTACCCACACAGCTGATTTAATGAACTGTGCACTACTCAAGTCTGTGTTATAAGGACAATGCCATGGGACACTCTTTGGGACACCAGGACACTCTTTGAAACCCCCAACAGGCCCTGGGGCCTATTTGAGAAGAACTGAATTATTCATTAATTCATCCTCTATCCATTTATTAGTCTGCTGATCCTCCGGCAGGTGGTGGGTCCACAGGAAGATGGCTGCTGCTACGTCAGTGGTGGGCCCATCACCCACAGAGCGATCCGCGGCGGTCAGGTGCTGAGAGGACTGGGCGGCGGTCGAAGGCGGGGACCTCTACGACCGAGTCCGCACACACAACATCTGGCTCTTGGGACGTGGGGGGGAAGGAGCCCGAGCTTGTGGGGGAGGTTGAGCGATACTGACTAGAGATAGTCGGCCTTACCTCCACACACAGCTTGGGCTTTGGAACCCAACTCCTCGAGAGGGGTTGGACGCTCCACTTTTATGGTGTTTCTCGCGGGGAGCAGCTGCGAGCTGGGTTGGCCATTCTCTTTGCCCCACATCTCAGCCGCCACGTTTTGGAGTTCTCCTTGGTAAATGAGGGTCGCGTCCCTCCGCCTCCGGGTGGGGGACAAGTCTCTCACTGTTGTGACGGCCTACGGGCCTAACAGCAGTGCAGAGTACCCGGTCTTCGTGGAGTCCCTGGGAGGGATACTGGACAGTGCACCAACCGTTATTCTCCTTGGGGTCTTCAACGCCCATGTGAGAAATGCCAGTCACACTTGGAGAGGGGTGATTGGGAAGAACGGCCTCCCCGACCTGAACCCGTGGTGTTCAGTTGTTGGACTTCTGTGCAAGTCACAGTTTGTCCATCACGAACACCATGTTCGAGCACAAGGGTGTCCACCAGGCACCAGGACACCCTAGGCCGGTGTAACGACGGTTTGCACTGCCTTGACGAGATGCACTGCCTCAGCTGTTTATGATGTAATGCAAACCTGCGCATGCGCGTCTCATGACAGCTGAAGCAAACCAAGATGGCGGACCGTGAACTGCTTTAAAAGTTAAAATACGAACAAATTAAGACACAAATGTCACTTTTAATGCAATTTGAGGCGAGATGTTGATGGTTCATGTTGTCAGATGTGGGTTTTAACAGTCAAAGTTTTGTGCAAAGTTTAGTTAAAGCAGTCAACTGCGCCTGTGAAACCACAATGCTATATGTTATGATAGCAGTCCGCGGCTGCTGACGTAGGCTGATGACGCGTCCTGTGGCAACTCTACAGCTTACAACTGGTCTGTCGTGTTGATAATGGAAAATGGGGAAAAACTCGATCTGATTAAATATTTCTTTTGAACAAACTATTGTTAATCATATTGAATACAGCACGATACATGCATTAAATTAAATTAATTATTTCCATTATCAACCCGAATGAACAAATCAGACCACTATGCTGTTGATGAAATTGTAATCATGAACGTGTGCTGTCACCTGACCATATCAACCTACAAATGTTAAAAGAGCTGGGCCCATATAACCATTTTTTCTTCTGTATGCTCCTTTTGAGCCCTCTGTATTATAATCTGTTTGTAATATGTGTCTATGTCCAAGCGCTCAATAAACTAAACTAAACTGTCTTTTTCTCATTTGAAAACATTTTTTACTTGCATACTTGTGCAAAAGAGCTCTGTGAGTCAGTATTTGACACTTTGGGAAAATAGCTCATTGGCTGACTGAGGATGGTGCTCTCTTTTTCCCTTTTCCGCCTGAAAACGCTGATCTAAATGTGTGAGAGATGTATCAAAGGCCAAAAATACATGCATGTGAAAACTAGTGTTGGAACCAAACTGTTAGAAAAGTAGGTACCCCAGCTTCAAATGGAGTCAGATTTGGCACTGCATCAGGGATGCCTTTTGTCACCGCTTTTATGATTGTGTTTTTTTATTGTCGTGTTTCTTGAATAGCTACAGGCATGTGAAAACTAGGGAGAGAACCAAACCAGTTACTCTAATAGCCATAAACTAGTTACATGTAGTTTAATTATATGTCTGTTTGAAAGTAATGCTTTTCATTCTAAAAAGCTAAATTTGTGTTATGTAATCTCTGATTGATAAGCATCGTAATATTCATAATATTGAATCAGCAATTGACTGGAACTTCACAGCTCTATATGATTTCTATTAAGGCATTTATGAACTGATGACCCCTGTCTTTGACCCTGGTTGAAATGACGTGTTGACCTGTGACAAGAGTAGGGATGGGTAGGTCCTTGCTCTGTGGAGTTTTTTGTCAAAAAAGATGTGTTTCTGATCAATCAACAGTGTTGGGTAAGTAACTTTAAACTTTTAATACATTGAATAGACATTAAGTCTGCCCGTAAATTGAGTTACTGGGGTTAGGGTTAGGGTTACTGTTTGTAAATTTCTAACCAGTACTATATCAGAATCAGAATCAGAATCATTTTTATTGCCATGTAAGTAACAGGAAGTCACAGACTTGGAAATTGCTTTGGCTCAGTGCAACAGTCAGAAAGAGGTAATAAAAATAAAGAATAAAAAACACTTCTAAGGAATAAATTTAAATTTAAAATAGAGTTACAGTTACTATTTACGACCCCCACTGATGTCTGCTGTCATTGTGTCCTTGGGCAAGACACTTAACCCCACTTTGCCTGAAGCCCCCTCTGAAAGATCTCAGCTCCTGTGGACTCACCACCTGCAGTAGGTGCTCTGTGAACTGGGTGCAGCTCTGACTGCCACCCCCCCCATCAGTTCAAGCTGCATGAGTTTACATGCATGCTATGATTTTATCCCACAGGTCTTATCATGCCCTTGTCTGGGGTCAGGCCACAAAATTTGTAGTGAAGCCTTTGTTGTCATTATATAAACAAACTCTCAAAATATATGATCGAAAGCCATTGAAGCGTCATCACTGCCAAATTATCAAACATTACATTATGATGAGTTTTGATAATTTTACAAAATTCACCTCAATTTTGAGTGTCTCAATGGATTAGCCCCTGAAGTATTGTGTAAAGATATCCAAAGGTACAGCAGTGAAAGTGCGGATTCGAGCTGCAGAGTGAGAAGATGCCAAACAACTCTTTGCCACTGGAGCTGAAGTCACAGTCAGACATTAGACTTTTCTCCACAAAACTGAAAAAGTGGCTTAAGGAAAATTGGATGTAGTATGGACAAATGCGGTCTATTATTATTTCTATTGATGTGTTGTTTTTTTCTCCCCTCTTTATTAAACGTGTTTCTACACTGTTCTCCAAAAGTCTAACCAGGGTCAGGGGTTGCAAATTATCTAAGATCCAGGTAAGATCTTAGATTGTCAGTCAAGCTGCATTGGAGTCAGTTTGCTGGGAGAAGTATGGTAACTTGAGCACTCTTTCCTACTTTATCTGTCTGCATTATTAGGAGTCTATTCATTGTCTGTTTCATGGCGCGATGACGGGACCTCTGAACCCGGCCCCCTCCATTAACAGCTGTGGTCTGCCCTGCCCGACACGCCTGGGAGTTGCATCAGTACTGCACCGGACCTGTCCACGTTCTGCGGCCGCTGCATGGCCTTGGTCCCCGTTCTGTAGCTTAGGTCCTGAATCTATAACACGTCCGTCCATCCCTCTCTCAATGTGTATCTCCCTGAGGTTTCTCACTTTTCACCCACTGGGTTTTACAGTTTTTCCTTGCCAATTCAGGAGGGTCTGTTAGACAGTTTGTGTCTAAAAAGAATTACTGTGGTGATGATCCAGGACACTTTAACATTATTCAACATTTATGGACATTTATCAACATTTCCTGGACATTGGTCTCTCCCTATGGACCAATACATATGTGTTCTGTATTTTTTGTGTCTTAACTGTTGATTATCTTATCTGTGTTTTGTTAAGTCCTCTGAGATTACAACTGTTGTGATTTAGGGCTATACAAGAATGCATTGTATTGTAAATAAATATAAAAAAGTGGTGTGAATTTGGACGCATCCCTCCCTTCTACGTGACGTCAACCTGCACCTGTGGGTGGGATCATGTCAGAACCGGAAGCACTTCCCCGTAGCCTCAGGTAAAGACCAAAGACACAACACGTACTGGAAGCCTGCTGCTGCTTCCACGGAATTTACGAAAGTACAAGCCCCACACTGAGCTGACCCGAGTTCAACCATCTAGGCATCTACTGTCTGCAAGGCACCTGAACGGGAGCCAGCGCGTGCCAAACAAAGAAACAATCGACTTTTTTCATCTTTAGGATTGTGACAGCACGTTTTCAGACTTCCGTAGTTTGTTGACAAGTTTTGGGGCGAAAAGCCGCTCACACGCTCCTCATATGCGGTAAGTTTCAGCCACATTCCAAAATAATAGCCATTATTCGCGTTTAAGTGAATAGTATTTGTTTCAAAGCCGTATTCTATCTCAATTTAGGAGCAAAAGGTTTTTCCTCATTTAACAAGAAAAATTGACATTGTACAAATTGTGCAAATGCTTGGAAGAACGATACTAATATTTAAAACATCCTGTTTTCTAAATGTCCTTTTTTTGACAACAAAAGTATATATTTTTAACAGACTAAAATACATAGTATTTTCCCCTCCAACAACTCAAGAATGGACACATTTTCATGTTTTATGTTTTGTTTCTCGTTTTCATAATATTTATTTTCCCATACTTTTGGCCGCTATGGACAGCCAGATCTTTACTACTTTGCATCACAGTTAGTTGAGCAACTGTGTGAAACTGTCCCACCCAAATCACTACGTTTTCTGACCCAATGACCAGGTAACAGCAGGTAGAACTACTGGTCAATGTTTGTTAGATCCATGACTGTGCGGGATCCATGATTTGCAATTAGAAGTAGGTGATAATGCCATTTCTCTATATTTTTTGTGTTTTTAGCACACATCTATAATATTCATGAAAAAACATCCTCTAAAAGAATGCGCTGTATGCATGAAAGGCCTTTTTTTAACTATTCAGATTCTATACGTTAAGTGTAAAGCTGCAAGCTGTAACATGAAATATCACATAAATAACCTGTTTCTAACAAAATGGCAGGTGGTCTGATTCTGACATTTTATTTTTAGAAGAAACTTTCTGTTGGAGCAACAACAACACAATGTATGAGATATTTACACAGAGATCAAATGTTATTTTTTACTTTGCGACTAATAAAATTAAATAACTACAGAGACTACATTTACTAAGAAGCCCGCTCGGTCATATACTTTGAAACCTAAATATGTTGCTAATTTGAAAGATAATATATTCTTGAATGGGTGTGTTGCATGGATTTCTGCTTGCATAATACAATGGTCTAAGTCTAATGCCTAATGCCTGATTGTGTTTTAACTGCATGTGTGTGCATGGGTTTTCTCCAGGCTCCAAAAATTTGAAGATAGTGCCATCAATGTTGTCTATCACTATAAAAATAGCTCTTCAATGTGTCATTGTGATTAACCTAATTGCAACACAGTATCTATTTTATATTCCAGGTTCAGGGTGGTTTGAAGCATGCCTGGCCACAGTTTGGGGACAGGCCACTCCAACCCCCAGTCCAACCGGCATCCCAAAGGCAGCTCCAGGCAAGCGGATAGGCACTCCGGGCACCACAACCAAAGTGACCAATCCCGCCACTATGACCTAAAATATGCTCGCAACAACAGTGGCCCCCCGCGAAACGGCACCGCACGGAGCTCAGAGACTATCGGTTTCATCCCCGGGTCGGCAGACAATGCAAGCACCAGCCGACGCAACTGTGGATCCTGTGCTTCAGTTGAATGGAGCAGTTGCAAAACTTTAGTCTGTTGTATTTTGACTTGTGGGTTTTATGGAAGCAAGGAGCCGTGCTTGCCCGTAAACGAAAGCTCAACTGACCAAACAAAAACAAACAACGAGTCCAGCCATTTTAACGGCACTGCAATTTCAAACCCGACTTGCGGCGTGCCGATGGAAAAGCCTAAAGCGTCGAAACTACCCACGTTCGACAGCTTTCGTTATCAGGATGTGCGCATTGCAGGGCAGAAGGTGAGGTATCCGGTTACGGCTTCGAAAAGGACCCGTGTGCCCGGCAAAGGAGAGACCCAACGGCCTGTGAGCAATACAAGCCTTTTTGACGAGTACGACCTGGACAACCCCAGCGACACAGGCACGGACATAGACTCTCTCATCACTAAAAAGCTGCTAGAACTTTATGCGTTGCATCAGATCGACCAGCTGGCCAAATGCACATCGGATTCATCCTTCTCGCGCAAAACCAACGAGATCAGCGAGCTCATCTACAGCATTGCGCAGGACTATAACCTGGAGGAGCAAGAGGCTGAGTGCAAACTGGTGCATGGAGTTATTCGCATCAGCACGAGGAAGGGGAAGAGGAACAAGAGTCAGGCACTATCTTCAGGGCCACGCGCCAATGGGAGGACAGGCACCGACGGACTGATCCCGGACAGCGGCAATGAGACCATGACCAACACCTTCAGCAGTGACTGTAAGTGCTTCTCACACTCACATTCGCATTCGGTTGTGTGGAGAAGGGAAAGTTTTGCAATAGTTTTTTTGAAGAGTGGTGGGCTCACTGCAACACACACTCCTCCTGCAGATCTGGGGGATTTCTGAGGTTGTGTGGTCAGGTCAGGTCAGCCGAGAGACATTGTCCCTCTAGCCACTAGCGTGTCCTAGGTCTTCCCCGGGGCATCCTCCCGATGGGACATGCCTGGAACAGCATCTGTGCAGAGAAAATCATGTGGACTGATTTTATCCATGGTCAACCAAATCACAGTCAGGGGGAAATTTTTTCTCCAGGCTCTGTTTGCCTGTCTTCAGAAAATTCAGAAATGGGACAAAACATAAGTGATCGATTTTTGAGCTGATCCAGAATCATCAGGATTTTCTAATACAGGAATGGAACTAGGCCTCTTTGCGAAAGTAAACGCTCTACGAGTGCTTTTCTAGTTGGTAATTGGATGTAATAGACGCTTGTGATTTTGAATACATTAGACAAAGATAAAGTAAGTAGTTCTAACAAAACCGGTTGTTTTGTTTAAACTTTGACTTGGTTTCATTGTCACTGGGTCATGTATATAATTTTCATATCAATTTTAGTCTTTAAAATACAATTATTATTTGCATTTGTAGATAATGAAGTTGCAATTTACCTTTACCTTGTTTCAGAATATAATTTATGCTCAAAAATGTATTTTGGTGTAATTCTTTAATAATGTGCCAAAAGTGACTAGGAATGCAACTTCTCCTTCATTACTACCATTTTGCAGCTGTCAATCGACTCATGCTTGCTTCTAGTTTCTCTTTCAGAGTTCTATGTGTGACCATAAAACCTCCAGGAAATAAAGTTTCTTCTTATTAATTATTTACAAATCCAGGTTTAAAACTGCATGACCCAAATTGGCAAATCTAACTGAAAGGTGCTGAAAAATATCCTCCTATGATCTAATGACTCATGGTGTGTGGAGCTGTGGAGCTGTGGACCCGGTTGTGTTGGTGTAAGACAAGTCCACACAGGTCTGCAGCACTGACAGACTCACACTTTAGAGTTATTTAAAATGACTTTGTGTCTTTATGTGGTTTTGTCCTCATGTGATCCGCTTCTATTTTGCACACAGTTCCAGAGGTGAAAGTGTCGGAAGAGACGCCATCGGACGAGCTGGCCCGGAAAATGAGGCTCTGCAGCGGGAAGAGTGAGTGGGGACTTTCCACACACATGCACATCACTGGGTCTTAAAATGTGATACAAATGACAAAGCCAACCTCTTTCTCCTTACCACGCAGCCCCCTCTGCTTCTGTCAGATCACAAACTTCACAGAAGCCCATAGGGTAGTGTTTTTGGACATGACTGAATTAGATTTTATACAGATGTCTAGTGGATCGGTTTAACTCTGTGCTTTTAAATAATTTTCTACCTGGTCCCCCATTAGGTAGAACGAAACATTTTGCGCCCCTACCAGTTGCATCCTGGTCAGAATATGGCCCCACCTACAAGGCCACGCTGTTGTCAAAGCGGCTGCTGTGCTTCTCCAGAATGCACCCATGGCCAGTCCACCCATGGCCAATCCACCCTTACCTTTTAAATTGTGTTGAGCTTGAATATCAAAGCCACAGTGCAATAAATCAATAAGTATCAGCAGAGACCATAGACTGTAAATATTAACAAACGTAGTCACACCTATCTCTACCGTTCTAACTAATGTGCCACAACTTCCACGGCCTATGGGCAGTTTCAAAATGGCCAAGGGGGCTGGAAAATGTGAAAAAACGCATCTGCGCATGCATCAGCCGGCACGAGCCCTATTCATTTAGCGAGTGCCTTCAAAAATTCACAGCGACTAAACTAGACTGGTCCAAAAAATTCACTCCCCTCAGCATTGACACACATGTGGAACAAAGCTTTGGGCCAAGAGCCAACTTTTGTACCATCCTGTAAATAAGTTTTTGAGAGGAAAGAAGATGCCATATGTTGGCATTGGCTAATTCTTATTCCGGGTCCACCCCCATCGGCCCGTGGTGGGCAAGCATGTCAGCGCACGTCATTTTGACTTTTTGACTCCACTGGCGGAGACGGAGGATTTGGAATTCCGTTCTAGTTTGTACACTGGTTTAACCTGTCTGGGTTCACACCTCAGTCCCAGAGTTCACTTTAAAAGTGAACCAATTAGGAATAAATGCTTAATCTGTGGAGTACACAGACTCTTGGTCCATGAGTCCTCTGCAGGCCTCCCTCCTCCTGGTGCATGAGTCCTCTGCACATCTCCCTCTTCCTGGTCCATGAGTCTTCTGCAGACCTCCCACCTCCTGGTCCATGAGTCTTCTGCAGACCTCCCTCCTCCTGGTCCATGAGTCCTCTGCAGACTTCTCTCCTCCTGGTCCACGAGTTCTCTGCAGACTTCTCTCCTCCTGGTCCACGAGTCCTCTGCAGACTTCTCTCCTCCTGGTCCACGAGTCCTCTGCAGACTTCCTCCTGGTCCACGAGTCCTCTGCAGACTTCCTCCTGTTCCACGAGTCCTCTGCAGACTTTCTCCTGGTCCATGAGTCCTCTGCACTTTACCTATACAGTTACAGTGTTGTGTTGCACCAAATGACTGCTAAACTATAATATTCATGAGTTCAACACTACGAAACAGAAAGAGACTTGAACCCAAAATGAAAGTATACTTAAAACTGTGTAGTTTCCTTCCTTCACTTCTGCATGTTGTGTTCGGGTCAAACCAGTGCCTGTTGTGGCCCCCAGGCCGCACGTTGAACCAGCAGATCACGTTGCTTTAAATCCACACCAAATAAGTCCTGTTGGTTTATGTAATTTTGCCAAACAGACTTGAGTTACAGCTGGTTTTGTTGAAAGGGAGGTGTCTGCTTACATGTTTGAATGAGGAGACTATCATTGTGCTGCAGCGGCCCCCGGTATTAAGGTGTAATACCGGGGGATAGGACCTATGCTTTTCACAATGACGTCACAAGGAAACCATTCATAGACCAGCTAAACATGAACCCAAAAACATTTAGTTATAAGTAAATAAACACAATAAGCCTACAAAACTTTTGTTCATGAAAACTAACCAAATCCAAACTTGTATACAGTAAAAGTAGATGACACAAGATGAGTATGTTGAGTTGCTCAGTTTTGTGAAGTAAAACACTGGATATCTGGTTTTGACCTTTTTGGCCATGTCAATAAAGGCTTTATGTAATGACCTCTCAGAATATCCTATTATTGGCTCCAGCCCTGTGTTTATTTGTGGCCTTATTTATATGCCATCAGCCAGTCAACTTCCATCAGCACATTTCTCACCTCCAGACTGTTGTCCTTCTACCTGCCTACTTATCTTCTATTTAAACCTGCTTGTGTGGAAGCTGAGCCAATACAAGCTCCTCATGAACATCCTTGACCTTCTTGGTGCTCCTCGTGTAGAGTAGAAGATTCCACTATGCTGCTTGTAAATGGAATGCTCTGCTGAATTACGCATACTCCAACGTGGAAAGTTTTTTTTTTTATTCAAGCTGCCAAATTCTGGACTGATGGTGAAATTATCATCTTTATAAATACAGTTCTAACCCACGATTAAGTTCCAGAGTTCTGCTCAGATCTTCATTCTGTTGCTTTTCTTCTGTTTGCAGCGTATTCATCGTACACGGGCTACTCTCCATACAACCAGCACAATACAGACTCTTCAGGAGCCCCTCTCCTGCTCATCTGACCCCGTGCCTTGCAGCCCACATTGGGCCTACAGTCACAGAGACATGGGGTGATGCGGAGTGACCAGTGTCCAAAGGGACCTCTGGATATGGACTTACTATCATGAGGAATCAACCAGAACTTTTGGACAATGAAAACTTCAACTAAATGAATGCAGCCAGAGGAGATCTAAGCTGGACTCAATATCAAGAACCTGGATTATTTGGCTTTCGACTATTTTCAACCCATTTCAAGATAACACTTTTTGTCAAACTGGAAAAAACCTTTTCTAGGTTTTTTTTGTCTGGGGTACATCATTTTCCCATAAATAATACATTGTTTTGTTTCAACAAAAAGGGTAAGAGTTTGTGAACAGATCAGACCAACACATACTGTGTTAACCTCTACATGTTAACATGTAGAGATAATACAAAACCTATGAATACTTGTGAAGAGCCTGGTGAGTCACTATTTGACTCTTTGAGCTTAAAGCTGATTGTCTGAGTGAGGGTGACTTTCTTTTTTCACTTTTCCAAATACATTCATATGAAAACAATGGATAAAAACACTGTTTTAGAGCGAGAAACTAGTGACATTAATATGCATAGTTCAATGTTTGAGGTTTGAAGGCTTAGCCTCTGAAATTGTTACAAAATATGCTGTGGTCGATATAATATCCGCTCTCGTATGTGAGGAGTCTGTATACTGGGACAGGAGTGGTCTGAGCCTGCATGTATACTGCGGACCACTTGAGTGTTGCTGTCAGACGAAAGATTTCCACATTCTTGTCTGGGTCTGCAAAAGCTGTTGTTTGTATTCTGTAAATATGGATCAAAGCCATCATTTTTTTACCCTGTGCTTATAAAGCCATATTTGAAATGTACAGAAATGAGCTATGTTACTGCGTGTTTTTACAAGACCAGAAGACATTTACGCACTGTTCCGTTACGTGTTTTTTTTAATAAACTTTTTTGAAATATTGTCTCTGATATGGTGATGTTTATATCTTGTGAAAACGTAGTGTAAAAGTCTAACTCTAACTTTTGGTTTTGTTGAATTTGCTTACAATACTTCTATATGCACAATAAAAACAATACTGTTCTAAATCTGTTTTAATTGGCACTTAATCCACCCAGGTTAGACAGCATAGATATTGCTCAGGTGCCATGTGTTCCCCAACAAGGGGGTAAGCGGACCCATGGAGTAAGTATTGTAAAGGTATGTGCCCTAGTTTCCAGTTTCGCTTTCACTTCACTGTTACTTTATAGTCTGGGAATAAGAAAGAATCACCTGCAAAAAATCTTGTGCAACAGTTGAGGTTGATTAGCACTTTTGCAACACACTATGCACTCTGAGCCGGGCATGGCAATTGCTAAACCTCTGGTTGGGAAACACCCTCTGTCATTTAGATAGCCCCTGTAACCAGAGATTAGGGACAGACCAATATCGATTTGAAGTAAAACCACATTGGAATACATTTGCAAAAGTCCCCAGTGTGCACATGAAAAGTACATAAATTATGTATGCCATATATAAAATAACAATACCATAAGTATCTGTAAAACAATGTCTGCCAGCTCAAACCATTCTGATCTTCTAAAGCACATTGTAAAATCACATCGCAATGTAAATCTGAAACGTCACAATTAGACGGCTGCCGTTGCTGCATAAGGTTTTCTTAGGCCGCCTTGGTCACAGACACTACATTCAGCAAACAAACAGCCAAATGCATGTTTTAGCACTATTGTGCACGCTTCAAGCACACAGTACTATTAAGGAAATGCTTTTAATTGAAACAGTGGATATTGCTCATTATTGTGATCGAACGCTTTTCCCTGAGGCTCTCTCTGCTCTAAGCTGAGGCAGAGGGAACCGGTTGGTCTGGTTCTGACAGAAAAGGAAATCAAATCCACAAGCTGTTATTGTCTGTTATTGCAAAGGAAGCTTTGGCAATTAACTGACACGGCTGTGTTTACTCTGCTGTACTGTATGTCCTAATCCCCAGTCATGTGGTAATCATGGCTCCCTTTATGATAATCACTTTATTTGTCTTTACACTGATGGGCAGACGCTGCTGGTGTGCAAACAGAGTGCATATCTGCTGTTTTCCCTGTGTCACCCCGGTTCCCCACTGCTCAAGAACCAGTTGAACCTGTCTGAAGGGAGCTTTCACAACACACATACCACAGGCCAGTGTGCCTCTGAGTCAAAGTTGTGTACAGTCGTTCTTACTGTCAGCAACTGTTATGAGACTGTAACAGTGACACAACACCGTGCAGACAAGGTAGATTTGGGGTTATTGCTGCTCATTAATGTGTTCTATCCTATTATATATGTATACAATGTCCTTTTTTTAGACTACTGTCTTTAACATGTAATTTGGTTCAAATCCTTCTGAAATACTGGGTATTTTTGAGAGTTTTCTAAGTAGTGTCAGGAATTAACTAGACAGATGGATCGTGGTGCGCCAAACTCTGGAAGTTTATTTTAGTTTCTCTCAAGTTCCAGTGGTTTCAATTGTTTCTTTCTCTCAGACAGAATAAAGGCAGTACACAGTTTATATAGTCATTGTCACGTCACACATCGAAAGACATACGTGTCACACAGAGACAGTCACATCATAGTCAAAATAATCAGAGTCCTTGTAGAGTCCTGCACGTAGGCCATATTGCTATCTAATACTAACAGTAGTATAAAGATCTGTTTTTCTCAAATTTCTTTTTCATGATTTTTTGTAAATGTATGCAATTTGAATTAATCTACAGAAAGTTACACCAACTGCGTTTTTGTGATAATATATAATACAGCCTTATATTTATGGGGCTCAATATTTATCATGTGGTGCAAAATAAAAATGCATCCATTTCTTCTGCTTCATCCGTTGCCGGGGTGCGGGTGCAGCAGTCAAGCAGACTATCCACACACACTTTCTCCAGCTCATCCGGGGGACCCCAAGGCGTTCAGCCAGCTGAGAGACATAAAAGTAAAACTTTGATTGTCTGTTGTACACAGTGACAGTCCTTCTAGTGTGCTGTATCTTGCTTTTTCACGTGTTGCCATACCGTTTTGTGTTTGTACTTAAATTATCGTGTGTATATTTACTTGTTTGAGAATCCCTTCCCACAAGGGAGGAGATTACCAACGAGCATTGAATGACCACTCGTCCCCTCACCTAGTCTCAAGAGACATACGTACTTTGGACTTTGTAAATTGTTGGTTTTGCACTTTAATTTTGTTTTTAATAAATCTGTGATTGTATCAATATATTTGTTTCATTCATTTGTCTGTACATATGCAGAAAAGGGTTTCATAAGTTACGATTTCCTACCATACACTTGTTAGTATTAGATAGCAATATGGCCTACGTGCAGGACTGTACAAGGACTCTACAAGGACACCATGTTATGACTATGATTTGACTGTCTCTTTGTGACACGTATGTCTTTCGATGTGTGACGTGACAATGACTATATAAACTGTGTACTGCCTTTATTCTGTCTGAGAGAAAGAAACAAAGTAAACCAGTGGAACTTGAGAGAAACTTGAATAAACTTCCAGAGTTTGGCGCACCACGATCCGTCTCTGTCTGCTGAATCCTGACAGATTTGGTGGAGAATGCGCGGCTCAGTGTGTGCCATTCTCTGGATTGTTTTGAGGGAGTTTGCTTTGTTTCTTTTCCTCGGCGTGAGAGACCGGCATGCTGTGTCTGGGAGCGGAGATTCCAGCAGACTGGAAGAGCTGTTCCTGGATGCTTCTTGTCGCTTCTGTCACTTTTGTTTTTTAAATTGAATTTTTCGACGCGGAAAAGATGTTGGTTGACCTCTCGAACAGTCCGGATAAAGAGAATAAGGTAAGCAGACACCTTTTTTAATATGTAAAGTCTGCATAATTGGATACGAGCGAAATTTTGGTCTGTCCCGGAGGTCTGTCCAAATCTCTCTAAATCAAATTTTCTTTGTTTTGTCTTTGTCACGTCTTTGTCATGTCTTATGTTGTAGAAAACAGGTTAGCTGTGTGGGTAACCAGTCCCTATAGGAAAAAGGAACCCCTGACGTATCGGGGTCCCTGTCCTTTGAAGTAGTCAGGACAGAGAGAAAAAGGAACCCCTGACGTATCGGGGTCCCTGTTCTTTGAAGTAGTCAGGACAGAGAGAAAAAGGAACCCCTGACGTATCGGGGTCCCTGTCCTTTGAAGTAGTCAGGACAGAGAGAAAAAGGAACCCCTGACGTATCGGGGTCCCTGCCTTTGGAGTAGCCGGGGCAGAGAATAGAGAATAGAAAATAGTTAGTGAAACCATGGTGTAAAATTTAAAGTTATAATAAAAAGGGAAACGTTAAACACTAAGAGTGCCTTTTGTTACAAGTGTGGAAAGTGATCACTTCTAGACTTGGATGACAAAAGTTTAAAGAACAACATCAGTTATATTTGCTTAAAAAAGTAATCTTGAAAGTTCTTCTTCTTTCTGTTTTTGCATTTTTGCTAAAACACTACTTTCTGCCTGTGTGTGTGTGCGTCGCACTATCTTGCTGCCGTTGTCAGGGAAACGGCCCCCTCCTTTGCTGCTCTGGCTTTGAATCAGAGAAAAGCTACTGCTTTAGGATTTCTGGCTTTTCATAGTTGTTATTCCGTTAAATTTGCGAAATTTGCAATTGAACATTGTGTTATGACACAGTTAAACGTTTTTAAACACCATTAGTGAATAAGTTTTGAATATTATATGTTTTTGAAACCCAAATATTAGTGCTAAAGCTGTGCAATTCTTTTTAGATCTAACATATTTCTAGATTCCATTCTTTTAAATCTGCTGCTTATTTCTTAACTTTTTGTGAGTTGTGTTTGTTTTTTATGTTTTTATTTTAGTTACAAAAGCCGTTTTTCAAACATTTAAATTAGAATTTGTGTTAAAAGTGATTATTGATTATAGACTTCGTCTAAAAAGAAAGAGGGAATTAGGATTAGCTGTAAAAGTATTATTAAGTTAAACTACCCAATTCACCCATTGCAAGCGGTGACTTTTTTGCT